CACCACCGTTGTCTGTACACCAGGGAGGGCCTGATGGAGGTGGCTGTGCACGTTCTTGCCCATCGGGACCCTCACAGCCATGTTCTCAGTGCCGCGGATATGGAAGATGGTGGTGTGTGAGACCTATGGTCCAGACATTTAGATAGGACCCCAGCTGTAGAACTCTTGTCATTAGATCACAGTTATTTTTCAAAATAGTCAGAACTAAACCCATGTAACAGTCCTGAATGCACATTAAGTAATAGGTGCTTACTGTTCTCGCTCTCTCTTCCTGGGAGGAGGAATGCCCCTCCTTCAGCCCCTGTGCTTCCTTTTGGGATCCGTAAGTAATAAGCTGCTTTGTTTCGCTGTCTTTGTGCACATGTGATGAAATTGTACCTTCAATCAAACACCTTAGGTTATTTAGGGCACTTAGAGCATTTCAGTAATGTCCTTCTTCAGGAACTAGCCCCTCCTGATAACATGTTCGAAGTAGGAGAGGCAAAGTCTCACCATCCTGGCTTCTAAGGAACATTCTGGCTGTACTTCCTCCAAGACGCAACGGCACTTACCAACAACAACATAGCATTAGAGGTGTGATATTGGAGAAGAACATTAAAGGTACCATGGACTTCCAGAAGAACAAACAAAGTTGTCTTGGAAGTACTCCTTAGAAGCCAGGATGGCAAGACTTTTTCTCTCAAACTTTGGACATGTCACCAGGAAGGACCAGTCCCTGGAGAAGGACATCGTGCTTGGTAAAGTGGAGGGTCAGTGAAAAAGAGGAAGACCCCCAACAAGATAATTGGCACAGTGGCAGCAGCAATGTGTTCAGGCTTCACAAGAATTGTGAGGATGGTGCTGGTAGAGGCTATGCATAGAGACACTGAGTCTGAACTGACTCAGCGGCACGTAACAACGACAACAACATAGGCTACATGCCAGTGGTCTCACCTTCTGATGTGTCTGGGTTGCTGCAGACCTTTTCTTCAGTTGGCCCTCATTCACCTACTTCTGTCCCTAATTCACTAGTTGTTGTTAAGAGTTGTTGAGTAGGTTTCAACTCAAAATGATCTTTGTATAGAGTTTCTGATGAGGAGCAGCTGGTGGGATTGAACCGCCAACCTTGCAGTTAACCTATAGCACCACATCAGGACTTCAGTCTAGTCATCTCTTTTGTTCTGGGAGCCACGGATGAGCAAATAAAGATCTGGGAGATTGATTTCCCTGCTGACCAGAAGAGGTTTGCTGAGCACCTTAGTGGAAATGCCATGTGAGAAGACACAGCATGTGCGAACCAAGGTCTTGCAGCTGACCTTTGGCTTGTGGTTTGTGTGTGGTGGTATGGGTCAGTGTGTCATGACCCAGACGTTTGCTCAGGGAATCCACTGGACGCTGAATCCACGTGGTTGACATGGCCCTGACTCTTGAGTTTTATGATCATTTTCCAGATCCCCAAAAACCCACTGTTGGAGTCAATGGTGATTCATAGTAATGCCCCCATAGGGCTTCCAAGGCTGTAAATCTTGTACAAAAGCCCACGTTCCCAGACAGTGCTGGTGGGTTTGTATTGATGACCTTTAAGTTAGCAGCCAAGCACTTTAACCACTGTACTACCAGGGCTTCATCTTCCAAAGACACCAGGCGAAAACTAACACCAACATTGACTTAGGACTTGTGTTTGCCAGTGGAACCCTCCTGAGATGCCAGGGCCTGCTTGGGGCAACACACAGGGTGGAAGGGCAGTGGTGCATGTTAAAGCCATTGAAATAAATCATCTACAGGACCTGGTGGTGCCATGGTTAAAGTGCTTGGCTACTAACAAAAGGTCCTGAGTTAGAACCCAGCACTCGCTCCCTGGGGGTGGCAGCCTGCATCCGTAAGTATGACACGAGGCAGTCCAACTCTGCCCTGCAGGGGACCTGGGCAGCCAGCTGTGTTCAGGAAATGAAGCCGCTGCTGTCCATTACAGGGACTCCAGGCACAGCAGGGTCAGTGCACTGCGCAGGTCATTTCCAAAACCAAGATTTGTGGCCACCGTGTGTCCAACAGCAAGGGCTCACTTGTCACATTTCAGCCATGTGGCAATATTTCAGACTTTCTCATAATGCTGTTGTTATCAACCATATACAGGGTGTGGTCTTTGTGGTTAGCAGTCCATTGTTTACCTCACAGTGCCACATCAAGACTGATAATGCTGTTGTCCACGTTTTTAGAAAATGAGTCAATGTATTGATTTAAAAACTGTACTGGTCTTAGGGTTTCCTGAGGAGGAAATAATGATTGATTTCCTTGTCTCGAAGACAAAACAGAACTGAGAAGCAAGAGAGACCTTCATTGTCAGTGAACAAAAAGGAGCATATTCATAACCCATTGGGTTGGATTTACAAGTAGAGTACAAAAAGTGAAAATGGTCGAGTGAAAGAAAAAGGAGGCAAACATGTAGATTAGGCTCAGGAAGGTGGGTGTGGCACCGGCCTCATTGGAAGGTCTTGGGGAGAGGCTGTTGCTATGAATCGGTTGGATTTGCTGATTGAAACTGAGAAGAAAAAGGTCCAAACATATCAATGGATAAACTATAACTATAGGTTATTCAGTACTGTTGAGTTGGTGCCGACTCATAGCAACCTTGTGTCGGGTTTCCCAGGAGTGGCTGGTGACCACTGCCACGTGAAACTGCCCTACGGCACCACACCAGGACTCCACTAGGGTACTGGATGGAGTCACCTGATCAATCTCTCCGCTTGAGAATAAAACAGTATTCATAATTTGTTTTCACATCATGTCTCCCCAAGTCAAGTCAGAATTAAGACTAAGTTATAGAAAGTTGTCTTCAAACTTGCCTGAGTCTTCAGAGACATTCCCTAGTATCTCCTTATATTGCCCTAGGGCAGAGACTGAGAAGGGTCCGTGGAGTCTTCTCAGTCTCTGACCTAAGGTTCAATATAAAGGGTCTCTGTTTCTCCTAGCTACTTTTCTGAGAGGAAATATCCCTGACTCTGGCAATCTGTGGTTGGGGTTGGGGATGTAGTTATTCCCTGATCTTAAGATGTGGTGTGGTCCTCTAGGTAAAGTTGAGGGACAATCAAGTTTGACCTAGGGGTTGAAATAGGGGAGATGAGGAAGTAGGGGGAGCAGGGGCCTCCCTTTTCGCAGAGGGAGGATTATATTGTGGTTGGTCTGGGTATCCGCTACCAGAGAGGATCAGAAGAGGATGTCACCTTTTGTTCCTTGGGTTGGGTGGTAAGAGGTGCTGTTGGCTCCATCAGTGGTTGGTGCAAAGGATCCACCAAAATATCATTTTCTTCTTCTGGTTTCAAGACAAAAACCTTAAAAGAATTTTCTCTGGGGTCACCAAACTTAGATTTAGCTTTTAGGTCTGAGTCTTGATATGAAGTCCTGAAAATTTGGATTTAAGGGCTCTTGTCCCACTTATGTTCTCTTTTGTAAACTCGATCCAGCTGCAAAATGGTGTTAAAAGCTCGGCTCTCACTCTCTGGCCCTTCTCTTGATTCTTTAGGCTGTATTGGGGCCAGACAGTGACTCTGCTTTTGCAGTCTGGCTCCCACCTGTCTTCTCAGGACACTGAGTTACTCCATAGATGTCCAGATGTCTATTGCACTGAGCCTTCAACACAATAGGCAAAAAAAAAATTCACATACACACACGTTGAAAGATGAAGGCTCTGCTCAGGCAAAATTAGAAGTGATGTCAGGCCACAAGAAAGGCCAAGAGAAGGCCGTGTCTTACTGCGCAGAGAAACTCAAGAATAAGGATGTCTTGGCAGCTGCGTGTTCATGTCGGCAGTGGTCATAAGGGTCTCATCAGGGTTCTTGGAGCCTAAGGAAGGGGATTAAAACAAGTCCCAACAGTGGCCAGCTGTTAAGGTGTTGGAGGCCGCTGAGCCTTCAGTGGAGAGTCCTTTGTTTGTCTTTCCTGAACAAGAATGATCAGGTTAAATAGAAAGGGTCTCACGTGAGCAAAAGATTTCAAGATTTATTGAGAGTAAATGATATGGCCAGAGATGAGGACTTTTAGGCAAGGCAGCCCCCTGTCTCCCTGAACAGAGGCTTCGATGGGATTTTAAAAGATTTTAGATGGGAAAAGACAAGTTTATTCACAGGGATAGGTGGGGATTTCCAGGAAGTGACCTGTTTAGGAGGTGCCATGCTAATTGGGTGTGTACACAGCAATTCTTCAAGATGGATTACATCACAAAGGCAAAACTTATCTTGGGGTATCCAACATATGTGGTTGTACAAGACTCTGATTCAGACCCTTCCCAGGGCTTGGTAGACTCTTCTGCCCCAGCAGAAGGCTTGTCCTTTAAAGTCACGCCTGGGTAAATCAGTCTGGCCTGTAAAACATCTTACAAGGAAGTAAAACATGGATTTTTTATTGGTGCTCTTCATTAATGGCAGGTCCCATCTTACAAGGGAGCAAATTACAGAGGTTTTCTGGGTGGTCATTTTGGAATGGCATGCCCCAGGATGCGGCTGCAGCCTGAGCATGTCTTTACACAGCTTTACAACTGCTCAAGTAAGGAGAAATCCTAACGATTTCAATCACAAGACGTCAGTCAAGAAGTGCCTCATAGTCCATCCTGATTTCGGGGCACCCTTTCCCCCCCTGTCGCAGCTCTACGCTTCCTGTGAGTCGAATTCAGCTTCTTGACGTGGAGGAACTTTGGCGCTCAGGGATCGTGATCGCTACCCTTTGAAGACGCCTCCAAGATCTTTATCCCTGCGCACTCAGGCTTCCAGACCCAAGTTCAGGAGACCAAACCGGAAAGACCATTTCACTGGTGGTGGAGTGCAGAGCGGAAACTACTCTTACCCAGAAGGCTGTGCGTGGTGCGTGTCGTGCGCCTGTTTGTTAACGACAGGTTATGAGCCAATGAGAATCCAGAGTGCAGGCCGGCGTCTGGGCGGGATCTGATGCTGGGCAGGAAAGGAAGACGCCTCTACGCTGTGAGGCCGCCGACAGAGTTCACCATAGCCCGAGGTGTCTGCCTCTCACAGCCGCTCTCACAAAGGCTCCATGGCGCTGAGGGGCTCAGCAAAGGTAAACGGGAGACTCCCCAGGCCGGCGCGGCCCGTATCCCTCTGGTCCCGCTAATAGCCATTGGGGGGACGCGATTTCCCGGTGATTCGCCTCTCCGCTCCCTGCCGTTGAGTCTGGACGTCCGGCGGTGGATGGGTCCGCAGTCCAGATTCGTGAGTAAGGCGTTTCCCCGCTTCTGGCAGCCACTGGGATGTGGAGGGTTTCTAAGGAGCGGCTGGTTTGAACCGCTGACTGTGTGGTTCACAGTCCAGTGCTTGTCCTACAGCGCGTCACCTGGAATAAGGAGGGAAGAGTACGGGGCGCACTGTGCGTTCCGACGGAGCGCCTGCCTGGGGCTGTCACCTTTGGAGGGGACAGGGGAGTGCTGGTAGCGCGCGGGTTAAGTACCCCCCGGCCGGTTAAAGACCTGCTGTGGGTAGAGTCTGTCATGGCGACCGTATAAGACAAGCTCCGGGACTGCCAACCTTAAGGTAGACAGTTCAGATCCACCAGCTTTCAGTTCCCGTAAAGATTTACAGCCTTGGTTAAGGCTGTACCAGGGCACTGTGAGGGGGAATGGACGACACTGGGTTTGTTTTCATCTTTACCATCACCAGGGGTTTTATTTCACTCTTGGGTTCTAACCGCAAACCTTACATTTAGTAAGCAGCTGAGTGCTTAGTTCGATCTTGGTCCCCCAGGGTTCCTATCATTACAGCCTAGAAACCCAGGTGAAGTGCTTCTCCTCTATCACATTGGCCGCATCCACTCAGCAGCATCTAACAGGGCGCGTGGGCTATGCACGCTGCCAGGAAGGAGTAGCTCTGGCCAGGGTGATTATTGGCACTCACCCTAGGGAGATTCCATCCCTTGGGCCATGCACTAAGAGGGTTTACCTGTCAATCCCAAAGAACCGCTCCTAGATCGAAACCACCAACCTTTTGCCATTAGCGCTCCTCTGTAGTTACGGGTACTAAAAGAGGTTTATTTAAAGAATAGCGGCAGGGGAGACGTGCCAAAGGCCGCATCATCTCAAGCTTACGGCATAACATTTATTTTATAAGGAGAGAATTTTTTATTGAAAAGGCGGGGTTTGCTACTTGCGTGTCACCTCCATCTGCCTTTTTTTCTCATGCTGCGCATGCGTGTGGCGTTCATGATGGAGTTTAAGATGAACTGCTTTGCAGAGATGCCTTGACAAGATGACCGGTTTTGTGTCTGTGGTGAACACTGGTTAAGGGAGAGTACGGGCGGTGGAATCAATTCTGATTCATAGCGACCTTGTACAGGGTTTCTAAGAAGCATCTGGTGGGTTTGAACCACCAACCTTTTGGTTCACAGTCCAGTGCTGATCCTACAGCGCCTCACCAGCCCTCTGCTGGGCAGTTGATTAGGGAAGGGAGGGCTCACAAGCCCTGCTGGGTTTAGGTCACACAAGATCATTTTTCCCCCCTATTTTATCTTGTTTATATTATACCTGCCTGACAAGGAGCTACATTCTCTCTTGTCCCCATCCGGTTCCTGTTGTTTATATATGGGAGTTTATGGTTTTATGGATCTTTTCCCAATGCCGCTGCTCTGCTTCTCCAGTAATTTTTCTCAATAGTTTTCCTCTTAGTCCCTTCCCCTAACAGAGCTAGGGTCTGGCTTCTGAGGCCTAGGTCACTCTGGACCATCACACATGACCAGCTATCAGACTGATACAGCTTCTGTTTCACATTGCAGGTGTCTGTGACCTTTGAGGATGTGTCTGTCACCTTCACCCAGGAGGAGTGGGGGCAGCTGAGTCCCACACAGAGGTGCCTATACCAGAAGGTGATGCTGGAGACTTGGACGCTGCTGACATCTCTGGGTAAGAGGTCAGCTTTCTTCTGTGTCGGGACTGCAGACTTTAGGCCACGCTATCTACTCCCTGCAGTGCCCACCCTGTTCTGGTCCTTCTGCCCCAGTTTCCCTGTGTCTCCATCTATTGTTGGGTGAGAACTACATACAGCTCACATCAAAACTGAGGTCATACGGGCATACCTCAGGTACTATGGGGTTGGTTCCAGACCACCCAATGAAGCAAAATCGCAGTACAGTGAGTCATACAAAATTATGTTTACCTAATACTGTAGTCTTTTCAATAGCATTATGGGAAAGTTTCAATAAGAATGACAGAGACCTGAAATGAGCACTTGCTGTTGGAAGGGGCACCAGTAGATTGGCTAGTTGCAGAGTCTTCACTGTCTGGAGGGACCATGTAATGGGATGGGAGATGCTATCAAAGGAGGTGTGTCTTAACTGAGAAGAAGGCTGTTTGTTGGGGCAGGTCCCAGGCTGTCTTGTGGACCCACAGGCAGATGCTCAGCTGGGCATCGTGAGATGCTGAACTCAGGAAGTCAGACTATCCCAGCTGGGTCCGATTTTCAGTCGGTAAAGGTAAATACAGGGACGGAAGTGAAGAGTCCGGTTACGTGGCAGGGATCGCAGTTAATTTCAGATTAAGATGTATGTGCATTGTTGAGTGAAAAACCAATCTGCTTTGTAAACTTCCACACCACAGTGTTGCTGTTTCCCCTGTATGGGATATAGTATTCCCAAGGAGTGGCTGGTGGGTGTGAAGTGCTAACTTTGAGATTCATACCAACCTGCTTATCTCATAGCACCACACCCGAACTCCTAAATCACAGTAGAATAAGGGGGGGAAGTGGTCTCTAGTCCTTACTTTTGGTCTTCTCTCTGCATGCGGATAGCAGTCTTTCAGGCCAGCAGACCATCTTCATATGTATAGAAATGTACTTCCCTTAACATCTACCCCAGTTCCCAGGCACAGGCGGATTTTAGCCCCAGATCCTCATTCCTGATTCCCATGAGTATGACTGGCCTACCTTGCTTGGGTCAAGCACTCCATCGCCTAGGATTGCTGACGGTGATAGCACTTGAAGATGACTTCAGGAAGTGACTCCAAGGAGGTGTTTGCCATTGTTGCCACCCGTGGTGGTCTCTGTTCAGAGGCTCCTTTCCTACAGCCCAGCCCAGGCCCTACACAGCCATGGTAGGTGAGTGTGAGCAAATGGTGCAGGAGAACAGTCAGAGAAAGCCTGTCTTTTCCTTCCCTCTTTTCTGCTTGCTCTTTCTTGTTTAGTGAGAGGTTTCACTTCGTGCTGATTCTGTTGTTCGGTGCCATGGAGTCAGTTCTGACTCATAGCAACCCTATGTAGAGTTTCTGAGGAGCAGCTGGTGGGTTCGGACTGCTGACCTTGTGGTTCAGTCTAGTGCTGGTCCTACAGCACCACACTAGGACTGGTATTTAGGATCTCTGAGTAACAGAAAAAAGATGAAGCTGGTCATGCGCCATCTGCATGATCATTGTTGCAACAACTGTGGGTTTAATTGTGGTTGAAGTGAAAGTTTACACAGGAAATGCAGTTCTCATTCAGCAATTTAGACACAGATTTTGACTGCTGTCCTGCAATAGGTCAGCACTGCCACTTTTTTTCTACTCCTTCCTAATGTTTAAACTGTGCTTTTGGGTAAACACTGCCCTTTAGGTCTCGTATACAGTCGATTGTTCTGAGGAGCGGGTTCATCGCGGGTTTTACCCTTCACTTTCTAGGCTTGCCTTACATAGCTGAAAGGTGATCTGTGGAACCCCAAACTTAACCATACTTTCCATCTACAGACCATGTCTAGCCTTGTTTATGAAGCTGAGTCTTGTTCTACCTTTCTCTCCCACAAGAGATATAGAGTGGCCAATGGTGGCATTCAAGCATCATCTAGTTGTTTTGGTCTCAGGTTAGTGTAAAACGGTGGCTTAGGGGGTCCATTAGTCCTTAAGACTAATTATTTCCCTTAGTCTTCGCTCCCGGTGGAAAGAGACCAATTGTTGTAATGCTACTTAGTACTTTGGGGACTATAGCCTAGCATTGGATCAGTCACAGGGTTACGCTAGCCTAGCATTGGATCAGTCACAGGGTTACGCTAAGTTTTGGAAGTAGATCACCAGGCGTTTTTCCTCATCTTAATCTGTAAACTCAGCTGGAACCTGTCCACATGAAGGGGGACACAGCTTCCAGCAACATAGCAACACTCAAGCCAGCACAGTAGGATAGACAGGGCCTCTGTAATCACGGTAATTGCCCTTTCGCCCTGAGCAGGCCACAAGCAAAGTTGTTCAGTTTAAAGAAGTGCAGATAGTATTCCATGAGCGTGTCCCACAGCTGCAGTGAACAGTTCGCCTAGATGTAGTTAGACAGCTAACACTGACCTTGCTTCTGTAGCCTCTGATGATCAAGAATGGTTATTTGTCCCACTGGTTTCTGGGTCTCAAGCTATTATTTTTTGCTTAGCCTCATTCTAAAGTTTTCTTCCTGTCTCAAACAAGTTCTTTTAAGTTTTACCAGAATCTAGACATTTTTTCCATGAACAGGAACATTTCTTCCAAAACCAGATCTGATCTGCCGACTGGAACATGGGCAGGAGCTGTGGACAACAGAGACGGGCCTTGCTGAAAGCACCTGTGCAGGTAGGTGAGCCACCACACCCCCAGGTTGGGGTCACGGCAGCCTATGGAATTTCATGTGGGTTTGCCCCTCACCAGCCTTAGGACCCTACACTCCTCTGTTGAGAATGTACACAGAAAAACATACACCAATGTACTCAACTCTACATGTACAATTGGCATTTAATACACCATGTAAGTAACACATATTACATGCATAGGAAACTAACACAAAAGGGGGTTGGCATGCTTTTAAATATATATAATCTAGTATATAATGCACGTATTTATTTTCTTCCTCAACAGACTCATTACCTCCTTAGCTTCAGGTGGTGGTGGTATGTCATGGAACCCATGCTGACTCATAGCTACCCTGTCTAATATTTCCGAGGGTATAAATCTTTATGGAAAGAGCTCGGGTAGCGGAGTGGATTATAAGCTGAGCTGCTAACCGTAGTCAGGAAGCTGCCTTAGAACCTCAATACAGGGTCGTTATAAATCGTAACCAATTCGTGGCACACACCCACCAAATAATGATGGGAGAAGAAAACCTCATCTTTATCCCACACAGCAGCTAGTAGATTTGAACTGTCAACCTTGCAGTTAGCAGCACAACTCGTAATCCACTCCGCTATTGTCAGTCTAATCCTACATAGATAACATCATTCTTGGTTGCTTTTAAGACTTCAGGGCTACAATTTCAGGAATTGATCAAGTCCCCGTAGAAAATGTGGCATCCACTCACTCCACAGGGTTTTCAGTGGATTACTGAGTTTTACTTTTGAGGCTTGAAACCTTTAACCTTTCCTTTAGTAGTCAAGTATTTTACCAATTTATACCATCCAGGGCCTCCGTATCATATGTTTATGCAGATGATGCACTTTCCACGTCTGTTTGCCCCTCATAATCATGCTCTGCTGATTTGTCTTACAGCAACATATACCAAATAAAGGACCAAGTAGTGCTTAAGAAAATGCCTTACTGGAGGGTGAACAGTGGGCAAATCAACATAGAAAGCACACATTATTTGCATAAAAGCAGTATATAGAGAGGCTTCAAAAAGATTGTGGAAAAATGGAAAATGCACTTTTACTAACTTTTTGAAGCCCCCTTGTATAATAAGATAGGCTAAATTTAAGCTAGTTGTTATAGCAAATAAATGATAAAATACCATGGTTCAAGGTAAGGGTGTGGAGGAGGCCTGTCTGGTTGGCCTGTAATGCCCCTCCCACTATTTCTATCTTACTCCTCAGTTAGGGCTCAGGGGCCACCTCCTCTGGGCGGCCTTCCTGCTCACTTCCTTTCTCCCCAGGTCCAAGTCAGGTGGCCTCTTCCAGACTTCCCTTTAAAGATGTCAAGAGTTAAAAACAAAAGAAGTAACTTCGCAAACCTGAGTGTCATTGCTGTCAAACACACCATCTCATCCTCCTGTGGCTCAGGTGGAGATTTGGTTCTTTCCTGTTGATGTCTCTCATGAGTCCTTTTGTGTTTCATATTCCGTTTTAGGTGACAAAACACAACCCAAGACCCGACAGTCTGCTTGTCAGCTGGCAATGGCTGAGGGAGCCACACTCCAGGAACGACTGGTTACAGGAGCCTCAAAGATCTCCAGTTTAGTTCAAACCAAGAGACAGAAAGCACCACTGGAAAAGCAAGAAAGGCACCTGCGGGCACGGGTGACAAGGGTAATGCTCCCGAAGAAGACCCACTCAGGAGATGCTCACCTTGAGCAGGGCTTGGAAACACCAGCTGAAGATACTTTGATGCAAACAGAGAAGAGCCCCTACCAATGCCAGCAATGTGGACGAGCCTTCAACAGAAACAGTCTCCTTATTAAACATCAGCAAATTCACACTGGAGTGAAGCCCCACGAGTGCAATGAGTGTGGGAAAGCCTTTCGTGAGCGAGCGGACTTGGTTCGACACCTAATGATCCACACGGGGGAGAAGCCATACAAGTGTATCGAGTGTGGGAAAGCCTTCAATCGCAGCTCCTACCTCACCCAGCACCAGCGAATTCACACTGGGGAGAAGCCCCACGTGTGCAGTGAGTGTGGGAAATGCTTCACCCAGCACTCCAACCTTATCAAGCATCACAGGATCCACACTGGAGAAAAACGTTTTTTGTGCAAAGCATGTGGCAAAGCCTTTTGTGACAGCTCTTCTTTATATCGACACAAAAGGATTCACGCTGACAAGAAGCCATACGAGTGCAGTGAATGTGGGAAGGTCTTTGCCCAACTCTGTGCTTTCGTGGGCCATCAAAGGACCCACAGTGGAGAAACACCCTTTGAGTGCAAAGAATGTAAGAAAACCTTTTGCTTCAAGTTTTCCTTAACGCAACACATGCAGAGCCACACTGGAGAGAAGCCCTTTATATGCAGTGAATGTGGGAAGGCCTTTAGCCTCAGGGTCAGACTGAGTCAGCATCAAAAGATCCACACTGGGGAGAAACCCTACCAATGCCACGAATGTGGGAAGGCCTTTAGTTTCAGCTCGAAACTCAGTCGGCATCGAAAGATCCACCTTGGCGAGAAAGTCTTTGTTTGTAAGAAATGTGGAAAGGCCTTTGAGCAGAGGGCTTACCTTAATCGGCATCAGGTAACGCATCGTAAGGATAGACCTTTTGAATGTAACCATTGTGGGAAATCGTATGCCTCCGAAAGCCATCTTGTTCAACACCTGAGAATCCATACTGAAAAGAAATCCCATTAATTGTCACTGCTGTGAAGAAGCCTCTTGCAGCACATAATTTGCTGATGTTTATGGCTCATTAATAAAGACAGAATGGTATTCACTGTCCATCACCAGAACAGAATCCTGCCACCTTTCCTGGGACTACTGCAGCAAGTCCTGGAAGCTGAGATGCAGTTGATTTGTGAAAGCACAGAGACTACCTGGTGAGCAAACAGAGCTGATTTTGTAGGGTTGGAGGGCTCCCCTCAGCTTTCTGGTGGGAAAAGATATCCCTCTGGATGTCACTGAAGTTCAACTTTTTGCCTCCTAAACGATGAGAAAATAAATTCCAGCCGTTCACTTCCATTAGCTAATTTAGCCATGGTTCTAGCTGAGAAAGGAGAAGTTTAAATCAGTATGGAAGAGGGTGGTGAAAGTGTGGGGGAACAAAAATGTGGCCACGGCAGCAGTCAGGCTTATTTATCATCACGAAGTCTAAGGTCTCAAGCCTTGGAATCCCACCTGGCACAGTGGACCTGCCCTTTAGGAGCTGCTGTACCAGCCAGCCTGGTGCTCAAAGGCAAGGGACTCTGCATTTCATCCCTGAGTATTTCTCTTTAAAATGTGGGGGTAACTTCTGATTCAGGGCTTCAACAGGTTAAAAATACTTCATTAATTGCCACGGTAAATCAGGGCTCCGTATGTACTGCACACCATTCCAATCTGGTGCCTGTGATACTTTGCCCAGAATAGGAAACAAACAGCTGTACCCCACTCAGACAGCAGCCACCGATGCGGTTCTGAATGGGTTAGTGATCCCATCTCCCACATCAGACCTCTGAAAATGTCAGGACGGGCAAGACAGAGAGAGCGACACATACCCAAAGCCACCATCTTGCAATGGGCACAGCTGTTTCCTACTTGAACCAAAATACCATGCAAGATTTGGTTTCTATGTAACACATAACAAGCCTTTGTTGATGATTGATTCTACAGAGGGCTGAGCTGCTGGTGGGATAGGAGGAAGGATGAAGATCATTGTAGGACAGGCAGTTGTTACATGCCATGAACTCACTCCATCCTGGTTCACTGACCCCATGGAACAGAGCAGATGTCTAGAGTTACCTAGGACGTCATCTTTATGGCAGCAGATCACCAGATCTTTGTCCCTAGGAACTGCTGGTGGGTTCAAAGCCCCCTTTTGGTTAACAGCTGACCCATTACACTAAGGCTCTTCAGTAGAAGGAAGGATGAGGAGGCAATTCTGGAGGGTTTTTAGTGATGTGGAGTCACATGGGAATGACAGGAATGCCACAGTCCCATTATGCCAGGACACAGGTCTCCGAGTACAACACAGTGTCTGAGACCTGAGATCTCAGCCCCTACTTCTACTCCTCCAAGGGCCATCAACACTGACGGCCACCCCGCCATCTCTCAGCCCAGGAGTGGGTCTGCTGTGAACTACATACCTCTAACCCACATGAAATGCCTTATTAAAACTCGGTTTGTATGAACGGCAGGATAGGCATTAGGACTGTGCACAGAAAACCGGGTGAAACCAAGTCAATGACTGTCCCAAACTCTGAATTCCGTATAAAGTTAAATGTTAAGCCAGTGATTCAGGTGCTTACCAGGAGACAGATTTGGAACAGGAACAAGAAAGGTGACTTCTGAACCAGGGCAGCAGGCGGGTCGCAGTCTTTGTGGAGGGTGGAAACAGGAACGAGATCGCTCCCAGTACTGAAACCACCCAGTAATCTGCAGAAACAGAAGTGAGTCTTTTGTTTTTTTGCTCCCCAATCTTTTTTTTGGTGTATACATCTCTACACGGGTGACCAGAGGGAAGGTCCAGTGTCGCACACACAAGGTTTTGTGACAAAGTGCAACCAATTAACACTGAGCTGCTCGGGAATGGTTTGCCTAGGGCGTAAACAGGAAACTGATCCAGGAATCTCAGTCACCTTTGAAGACTAGATTCTATTTTGTTGTCCATTAGGTGGTGTTAAATAATTACTCATATTTTCCCATTTTTTACTTTAGAGGTTATTGTTTCTCTGATTTTATTGGGTCCCATAACTTTATATAAACATCTTTTCTGTGTTTTATGATGTTTGACTTTGGAGTTCAGTCTTGAATTTGGCCTGCCTTCTACTTTTGTGGGAGCTACTATTCGTGCCTCACCTAATGAGATAGCAACTCCATACAGCCATACAGCCAAGTTACATTTGCACCCTGTAAAAAACCCCACCAACAGGACAGGAACCAGTATCAGCTGCTATATAACCACACAGCGTATACAACCAACACCTGTTAAAAACACTCTAAAGGGAGCCACATGAGCAGTGAACAGAGAAGGCCATCTCCTGATTAACTGGTAGGTGTAGTGTGCTTAAGAATATACCATCTAATTAACACAAATACAACAACACTACCATGCCTAAACAGAAAATTTCTGCTCTCATGCAGAAACAAGACAGAGTAGCTCAAATAACCAAGAAGTGAAGCTAGGAATGATATTAGAGGGTAAAGAGGCTTTGGAGTTGTCTAAAAGGGAATTTAGGAGAATGATATTGTACATACAAATGTTCCACAGAAAAGCAGAGGAAAATAAGGAAGTAGTCAGAAAAGTGCTACAGCAACAGTTGAGCAAAATCAATACAGCTCTGGAGAATCCAAATAAAAACCTGCCAAAGGAGGTCCAGGTGGTTAATGCTAAAATATCAGAAATGTACAACACACTGAAAGGATAAAGGAATAGAACTGAAGGGGTGGAAGACAGAATCAGTGAGCTTAAAGACAGGGCTGTCAATACTGCTAACAGAATAATGAGCAGAAAAAAATTCACATGGGACAACATGAAGAGGAATAACTTGAGGCTGACTGGAATTCCAGAACAGTAAAAGACAAAAAGTTTTTAAATTTCATCTGAAAGAGCTGTTGTAAGAAAATTTCTCTAACATCTTGAAAGATAAAAAGATAAGCATTCAAAAAGCTGAATGAACCCCAGGAAGGACAGATCCCAAAAGAAAGAAATCACTAAAACATAATGTAATCACACTCCGAAAGCAAGGAGAGAATCCTGAAAGCAGCTGGGCAAAAAGAAATGTTACATAACAAAGGAAAGCCATTAAGATTAAGCTCTGATTATCTGAGCAGACACCATGCAGGCAAGAAGAGACAATAGGGAGACACAAAACTCAAAAATAAACTGCCAACCAAGAATCCTATACCCAGCAAAGCTGTCAAACAAATAAGATGATGGCAAAATCACAGCATTTCAGAATAAGCAGAAATTAAGGAGTTTTGTGAAGGCCAAACCAGTGCTCCATAACATAGTAAAGGGAGTTCTTTAGACTGAGAATCAACATGACCAGACAACAACTACAGACTGACAGTTGTGTTACCACCACCCTGGAGGTCAGTCCATGAACAGGACAACTACAAAACAAAGAAGGGGGGAAGAGTTTAGTAACAGAGATCCTGGTAGTAAGGTCAGGTAGATCTCAGAATTTGAGGTAGAACTTAATAAATAAAGGGTACCCTCAAAGAAGCTTAATACATCTCTACATCATATCAAGAAAAGTAATGTCCAACAGTTTATGGAAACATTATAAACAAAGTGACAAGAAAAAGCACACAAAAAAAGGAGCTCATCGCAGGAAGGCGTACAGAACAAAGAAACAAACAGCACTACACATAACACACCAAAAAACCAGCATAATGTCACCAGTTAATCCATACCTATGGATAATTACACTAAACGTCAACCGACTGAATGCACCAGTCTAGAAGCAGAATGGCTATAAAAACAAAATCCTCCAAAAACATGCTGTCTTCAACTAATGCACAAAGACAAAAATAGATTAAAAATTAAAAGATAAAAAAAAAAAAAAAAATACTATCGAAACTGTTACAAAAAAATGACCAGGAATGGCAATATTAATCTGAGACAAAATATACTTTAAAGCAAATACCAGCATAAGAGACAAAGAAGGTCATTACCTCATAGTTTAAGGGTCAAGTGAACAAGAGACCCTAGCCATAATAAATAGCTACACTCCCAACGAAAGAGCTCCAAAATACATAAAGCAAACCCTAACAGAATTGAAGAAAGAAACCTCTACAATTGTAGTGGGAGATATTAATATGCCAGTTTCAAAACAGGACAGAACCACCAGAAAGCAGCTCAGCAGAGACACAGGAACTCAACAACACAATCAACTAACTTGATCTCATAGACTGGTACAGAGCACTCAACCCAATAACAGCATAATAAAAATTATTTTCCAGTGTAAATGGAACATTCTCCAAAATATACCATGTATTAAGCTACAAAGCAAGTCTCCATAAATTTTTTAACATTTAAATATTTATTACAAAGCATCTTCTCAGATCACAAGGTTATAAAATAGATATCAACTAGGAAGATCAACTAAATAAAATCATCTACGTGGAAACTGAACAACACCCTGCTTAAAAGCTACTGAGCCGTAGCAAATCAAAAGCAAAACTGAAAACTTCCTAGAAACAAATGAAAACAAAACCACAATATACCAAAACCTTTTGGACACATCAAAAGCAGTGCTGAGAGGACAATTCACTGCAATAAATGCACACATCCAAAAAGAAAGAACCAAAATCAACACATTAACACAACATCTTCAGCAATTATAAAAAGAACAATAAAGCTACAGCTACCAGGAGAAAAGAAATAATAAAGATTAGGGCAGAAGTAAAGGAGATAGAAAACAGAAAAACATGGAGGTGGTGGTATGCCACAAGACCCTGCATAGGACTCCGAGGCAGTAAATCTTTACAGGAGCATAACAGCTGATAGTTTCAAACTGCTGACTTTGCCCAACTCATTGCCACTACACTGCCAGAGCTCCTTATGAAGAACTACAAAAAATTTGAAAATCTATAGAGGAAATGGATAAATTTTTAGAAAAACATGACCTACCTAAACTTACACAGAGTAAAGTAGGAAACTTGAACAGACCTAGAACAATGAAGACACAGATCAGGTCATCAAAAAAACC